TGTTTTTTGGGAAATTGAAAACATTTATATAGTGTGGAGTAATTGTTGCTTTAGAGTTTGTCTATTCCATTTTAATCATAGAGTACCATGCAGGAAAATATTCAAAATGATTGATGAACATAAATCATATTGCTTACTTAATGAGGAAAATAGATGTAAATAAATAATCAATTTAATCAAATGTTAAGCAATAATGTTTGAAATGACAAATTGAGTAATACTTTGAAGATTTCAATTTATTGCCCTTGATATGGCTTATAGTGGAGGATAATGATTTGATTTTTTGTTTGTCTGCGTGCTATTTTGTCTGTGTGTAATACTTTAGTTTCTGGATATCTCAGAAAGTCCTTTTAATTAAGTTTTTTCTTCATTCTTAGTTGCTCTGATAGAAATGGTTACTAGTTGCTAATACTCGCTATAGTATAGATTGGTTGCTGAGCTATGCTTAAGTAGTTGTTTTTGGGTTTTCCCATTTATATTTAAATTAGTTTTGCTAACACAATGATAAAGAATATTCAAGCATACAGTTGAACTTTGGTATCTCGAACACTGATATTTCGAATACCATGGATATGTCGAAGTGATTTGGAAATCCCAACCACTTATTCTTTAAGTATTTTACCCCTGACATCTCGAATCCTCAGATATTTAGAAGTTTTTTCTCGGTTCCATCGAGTTCGAGATAACAAGGTTTTTGACTGTACAGTCACAGTCATTTAAGTTGCAATGTAAAGATTTTGTTTGTTAGGCCAAAGTTTTTATTTTTTTTGGTTTACGATTTTCTGTCTCAAAAAAATGCATTGGGTGGTCGAAAAATAAAAATAAAAATAATTTTGGATTCAACAATTTCATTATAAAATAACAGCAATGTTTATTTTAATATAAATAATACACGTCAATAGTACTTTTAAGTTTTATTGTCTAGATCACATAACTCTTTTTATTTAATTTTAATTCATTTCTAACTTTAGACTGAATGTCATTTTCATTTACATATAGTTCTGATTTTTGTTTGTCAATCAGTGCTTGGTTCATGATGTTCAACATTTTGTGCTCTTCAGTGATATGTGATGTGTTATAAACCTTGGTATCCCCACAAACTAGAAATAAGGATCCAAATTCAAGTTAAATTTAGATTGAAGAAAAATACAATTGAAGTGTTTAACAATATTAAAAGTAATTGACGTTGAAATAAAGGTTATAATAATTTGATCATGCAGCTATCAAATTTAATGTTCAACCTGCGGCAAAAAAGCCTAATAATTTCTCAATCAAGTCCCTCTTTAAATGTTTGTTATGTACCTGTACAGTAGGCAATGCTCATTATTTATTAGTAATTCAAAGGACTTTAATCTCAATTGAGTATGAAATTTGCAAAGATTTGTATATTGAATTTACTTCTATAAAGTAACAAATGTTTTATACACATTTGAATTTATCCAGTGAAATACCAGTCAACGTTGCTTCAACTATTAAGATGTATCTCTCAACACTAAACTGGCCTAACTATTATCCATGGATTTATCAGCCTATTTTGGGAAACACCATTTTTGGGGAATTGGGAAAAAATTATCGGCTGTTTGATGAAATTGCAATTTTTTTTTTAAATGTTGCTTAAATCATGTACTCAGGGGTAATTCATTTAACATTTCAGCACGAACTCTAATTTGGGCAACCAAATGACAATTAAATATGATCCATCTTATTCGTACAAAATCAATTATGAATAATAGACTAATAAAAGTAAAATGGACTTCAATGAGTATAAAGCATTTATACAACTTGGGTAGTACATGTACATGTGTGTATGAGATTTCAATTTAGATCATTATAGTATCTGTTTCTGGAGATTATAAACCTCCTGCAAAAAATTATACTAAGTACGCATTTTCTAAAAGTCCTCTTTTAATATGTATTAATGCATTGAAAATATATTTTTCTAACTGAAATAATGCCTAAAGTCCTTACCATTAACTCGCAGATCAAATGAGTAGGTGGAAATAACTTAATAAATCTATATAATTACACAATATCATCATTTTTAGAAAAACAGAGGAAATTCGGATTAAAAGTTGGCGATGTTTTTACAGTGTTTTTAAACATGTGTTATGACTGTAGCTTTGCTAAATGAGTTAAAATTACAGACAATCTGACAATTTTACTTAGTGTTTTCCCAAGATAATTAAAAATAAAAGCATTGTTCACCAATTGAGAAAAAATACTGCCAAATTGGGAAAAACTGAACTCATTTTCAATTGGGAATGGGCCGAACTTCGGCCCCTGAGAAGGCACTGATAAATCCTTATTATCTATAGGTGTATCCGTGTCTGCTAGGTCAATCAGGGTTGGGCATACACTCTTCAATATTACGGTATGAATTTAGCCAATTGAGACATTGCAATTGGAGAAAGGGATCATTTATCCAAGATTTTATTCACTTTTCCATGCAGAAAAAGTTCTTTAAGTGTGTGTCATTGCTTTCAGTGAGGAATTACCTTGTTACATGACAGAGCCGCCATTTTTGGTTAGCACATGTGTTTATTTACGGTCACCTAAATGTTTGTAAAGGTCTCATATATTTGTAAGCGCTTATTTGACTAAGATGCATTCTAAAATTTAAAACCCACCAGTTCAGCTGAGAAAAATCCGGAAAAATATGTCGGAAAAAGACATTATTTTTATTTTCATGATTTGTGAAAATTAGGGTCGGCGGAATCGTAAACCAAGTGAAAAAAAAACTTTGGCCTTATCAATTCTCAAAACTATTAAATAATAAATCCAAGAGCTTTCAACAATGTTATTACATGCATATGACTGATTGCTAGGCAACAGGAGCCTCAGAACAATAAAATAAAGTTAGAATTGTAAAGTCAAACACCCATCTTTGAATACAATTAATATTGAAATCTGAAAGGGGCCAAAAAAGCCCTTACTGCACTTAGTTCTTTGTACAAACTGAGAATTTTCTTTACAATATCCCTCCAACACAAGAACTAGTGGACCATAAATCTTATTTCTAGCCAACTTTGAGAGCAGTTTATTTTAAATTGAATATTATACAACTTGCACTGCTTAATTCAAATATGTTATAAAAAATAAATTGCAATTGGTAATTTTAATATTAGAGGTTCTGACCAAATTTCCTCAAATGCTGACAAGTGACATACCTTAAAAATGCATTTGTCTCTAGATCCGAATGCAAATACCTATTTATCAAATGGTGTCAAATCAGTCTCAATACCTTTTTATCATAAAACCTAGTACCAACAATTTTTTTTATCATATTATTATGTGGTGTCAAATAGTCTCACCGATAAACATTATACTCATATCAAAATATCTGCACAATTTTCAGAAGTCAATGATATAGCAAAGCAAAAACAATTCTAATTGTAGAAGACAATTTAGGTAGCTGACTGGTGTTTTCATTGTACAATATTTTGTGCTGTATAGTGCAATACAGCGTATTTACAATTTTAATGAAATTATTTTAATATCATTTATCAAATTTAACAGAATTAAACATAAAGATGAGAAAAAAAAAAAAGATTTTTAAACACATTTCCTGTATATTCCTGTGTAAAACTTTGACCCCCTCTTGTGGCCCTGCCTTAACCTTGGGGATATGATATGAACATACTTGAATCTAGAGTATGTAATGAAGCTTTCAGATAAGTTTCACCTTTTCTTGCCCAGTGGTTCTTAAGAAGTAAATTTTTAAAAGATGCCACAAAATTTTCACGAATTCTTAATTATCTCCCCTTGAAAGAGGGCTTGCACTTTCTGTGAACAAAAATAAATCCCCTTCACCCATGGATGCTTTATGGCGAGTTTGGTTGAAATTGGCCTAGTGGTTCTTGTGAAGAAGTCAAAAAAAATGTGAAAAGTTTACAGACAACAGATGGGCGCTGCACACTCTTTGATAAGAAAAACTCACTTGAGCCTACGGCTCAGGTGAGCTAAAAACTCTATGTAAAAGAAGGGTTATAGTTACAAAAGAATGTACATGCTCCAAACTTATACCAATGAATCATCTGTAAAATGAAGGTCAGATCCAGCATCTGAACCAAGTCTGGTAATGTGCATCTAGAAAAGATGCATCATCAATGCAAGTTTAATAACCATAAAACATTTAGTTACTTGGGACCTGCTCTTAAACCTTTAACCTGGTCATTCATCTGGAAAATGCAAGTCAGATCCAACATTGAAAGCAGGTATGGTAGTGTGCATCCCTAGATGTAACATATATGCAAGTTTCTTCTCTATAGCGCTAGAATAAACCTGCTTCAAAAATTCTAACCTGGTCATTCATCTGGAAAATGTAGGTCAGATTCAGCATCTAAAGCTAGTCTGGTAGTGCACATCCCTTGATGTATCATCCATGCAGGTTTGTCACCATGGAGCTTATGGTTACTTACAAATGAATTGTTCCAAAATCTTTACCCTAATCACTCATCTGGAAAATGTAGGGCAGATCCAGCAACTAAAGCTAGTCTGGTAGTGTGCATCCCTAGATGCATCATCCATGCAAATTTGGTCACAATAGGGTTACAGTTACTTAAGAATGAACTTGCTCCAAAAACTTTATCTGGTCATTCATCCAGAAAATGAAGTCAGATCTAGCATTCAAAGGTAAACTGGTAGTGTGCATCCTAGATGCATCATTCATGGAAGCTTGTTCACCACCAAATGGCTTATAGTTACTTCAGAATAATCCTACTCCAAAAAATTTAACCTCCTCCAAAAACGAGAAGTCATTCCTTGGCTAAAATTATGACCCTTCGGAAAAAAGTATGTTTACAGTACTTGGAAAGACACCTGCTCAAAAAAGTTTAACCTTGGACACCAACTGTATTACAAAAGCTCCCCAAACTTTGTTGAGGTGAGCTTCATAGCTCAGGTGGCTCCCTTTGACAGAATTCCTATCCATAATTCAATTCCTTGTTCAGTCATTTCTACAGACCCTACAGGAATCCTGTAGATGAGTTTCAATACTATACCTTGGACCATCATCTTCATCACTGTCATGTGTAGTCATGCTGCTTTCTATGGGTTTGGCTTCCTAAAATATTTCAAATTTTTAAGTAATAATTTACATGATTGTATTTGAACTACGAAATATTTGATAAGTGTTTTTTTTTATGCAGCATTTTAATATTGCCTCTTCTATGGTATACTTCTAGATACTGCAATGCATTTTTAATTTTATCCTTTGATTCCAAACTAAAGTTTAACCCCAGCCTAATGCCCTACCTCCTGGACTGGTGTAGTTGGTACAGATAAACTAAAGTTTAACCCCAGTCTAATGTCCTACCTCCTGGACTGGTGTAGTTGGTACAGATAAACTAAAGTTTAACCCCAGCCTAATGTCCTACCTCCTGGACTGGTGTAGTTGGTACAGATAAACTAAAGTTTAACCCCAGCCTAATGTCCTACCTCCTGGACTGGTGTAGTTGGTACAGATAAACTTAAGTTTAACCCCAGCCTAATGTCCTATCTCCTGGACTGGTGTAGTTGGTACAGATAAACTAAAGTTTAACCCAAGCCTTATGCCCTACCTCCTGGACTGGTGTAGTTGGTACAGACAGATTAAAGTTTAACCCCAGTCTAATGTCCTACCTCCTGGACTGGTGTAGTTGGTACAGATAAACTTAAGTTTAACCCCAGTCTAATGTCCTACCTCCTGGACTGGTGTAGTTGGTTCAGATAAACCAAAGTTTAACCGCAGCCTAATGTCCTTCCTCCTGGACTGGTGTAGTTGGTACAGATAAACTAAAGTTTAACCCCAGCCTAATGCCCTACCTCCTGGACTGGTGTAGTTGGTACAGATAAACTAAAGTTTAACCCCAGCCTAATGCCCTACCTCCTGGACTGGTGTAGTTGGTACAGACAGATTTTCCTCCACTTTATCCAGATCAGCAGAGATAGAATCAGCATCCTTCCACAATCCATATCTCTGAATAATAATTCCAAATCACTCATGAAGAGATCACACAAAATTCTATACTTCAACAATCCATAAATAATATAATAAAATGAATAAAAATAATAATTCCAAAGTAGTCAACTGACTACACACAAATCTTTTTTTCCTGATTGTGAATATTTTCTTTATCATCTGAAACATTTTTAAGAATAATCAATATTGTTTGGACATCTAAATTTGAAATCCACTATAGCTGAGACTTTTCTCACCTTAAGGACAGATCTGTGTATGAACAAAGCCAATAGAAGCACCAGATCAGCTGTCACAAACCCGTCTTTCTTCTCGATACCAATGATACGGGGAGGCCAGAAAGGGTCCGTATTTATGTCTGTGTTATTATTCCATGAGAAAAATCCAAACTGGAATAAGTACTTCACAACAACCACAGCCTGAAAGATAGCAGGGATTACATTAAATTGTGTTAACTATTGCAAAGCATCCCTCTCAAAGGGACAAAAATAAATAAAAAATACACTAACTTTGTTCAGGGAAGAGGTTGAGAGAGGAATAACAAAGTAACAATTGAAATGACACACAATTGTGAAAATACTGAATTTACATGAGAGCATAGCTTCAGTGCAATTAACGTTACAGAAGTTCACAACCTAACACAGAAGTATGAATCATCCAAACATTACTATGGAGCATACTTATAATATAGACCAAAGTTACCTCTGTGTAAGTGATGGCTGTAATCCAAAAAGTCTTGGATGGGCGTGGCACGGACAGCATGCCCCACAGGAAGACCATGAGGGGGAGAGGGAGGGACAGCAGACTGCAGTACAAGATCTGGTTCAGAATCATCAGGAAGTAACACACAAGCTCAGACCGTGACACCACTGCGTAGTACGTGGCTTCAAACAGTAGGTAGACTTTGTTCTTGTTGGTCTCAAACTTTGTGGAGGGTTTACCCTGTAATCCACCATCCACTGCATCTCTGACAAAGAAAAATGACATTCTTAACAATACTGTAAACCAGTTTTCATTTAAGAGAACTTTATTTTCACATAATTAAATGAGACATCTGATCGCAAAATTTTAATCTTGGATATATTTGTATTATCAAGGATTATATACAACAATAGCCAGATTTCTTAAAGTTTTGTCTTGCTTATGAATATCATATGAGTAACTCATGAAAATAAGATACATGTAAAGCTAAAGATTGCTGATGTAAAGTAAGTTTTGCTACAGGGGTTAAAAATGTGTACATTTTACAATTTCCTTGCAGATTTCTCATCAACAAAACTTTGATAAAAATAAACTTTGAAATTATCAGATGAATATTATACTAAGGCTCTATAGTATAATTACATTGGTTTTTAATTCATAATTCAAAACTACATCAGAAAGGACAGTAATTTGAGACTCCCTACCCTCCAGTTTCCTCAGTGGTGACTATACTGATCTCTGTCATATCAACTCCATCTCTACTACAACACAAAACACACAGTAAACCGTAGGCTTCTTATAATTTACTTATGCTACCTACATATAAATACAACGTTAACTGTAAATCAAACAAATGTCAGCATAAGTAAGAGATCAATATCATACCTGGTCCCGGACGGCCCTGTGGTTCCATCCTCTGGTATGTCTAGACTGACAGTCTCATCTTTGACTTTAGGTCTGGCTTTGTTTTTCTGTAGAAAACAATGGAACAATAGTAAACCTGAAGGATTAAATGCAACTGGAACTGTCCTACTAGGACTAGCACACACCCCTCCTCCTTTGAAAAAAGATTTCAACTTTATCTCCAAAGAATTTTACTTTTTTATTTCTTTGACAGAACCTTTAAGGAAGCGATTGCAAGGGTCCATGAAAAAAAATCCGCTCAATGAATTTTTCTCATTTTTACATATAATTTGCCTTACGTTAATGGTATCATAATATGAAAATTTCAACCATGGTCATCAGGTTATAAGGATGATATGGTTGCCATGGTAACCACATTTTTTCAATATTTTGATATTTATGAGGTGAAATTTTATATATCCATACAGGTATCAAAATTGAAACAAAATAAAAAAATTCCACTAGATATTAAATAATATGCTTTATATTCAATGAAAATAAAAATTGTATTGGAAACTATTGATAGATGTAGTAATCCCACCGCTGCTTTGGGGAGTATTCATTGTAAATTTGCAGTAATATTTTCACCTCAAGAGGAGTTCTCAAAGTCTTGACAAAAAATTACCCAATGAATTTTCCAAAAACAAATATATTTTGTACAAATTATTATAAGTGACTTATGGTTAAAATATGAAGTAAGGTCATCATGCATGCACATTCATTTTGAAGCTACCTGCATTTCAATACCCCCCCCCCCCTTCCTAAAATATTATAAGATTTCATAAATTTTTGTATGATGGTTTGCTGCTGAACCTTAAATATGTATAGTTTGTAAAAAGACTAAAGAAAAAACAATATGTATAGATTAATAAATAATTTTTTTTCTGAAAATCTTGCCTTTGCTGCTCATTTTATATGTAAATCAGAATAACAAAAGTAAAAAAAAAAAATAGAATCATATACTCAAAAAAATAACAACATGCACATTTGTTTATTTTTATTTTCCCGTCTCATTTTTATATAAATATATATATTCTAAACCAGTACACAGTCGTCCAAGGGGCAAATTGTTCATGCGCTGAACAAACATCGAGGTCTCTGCACTGTGACCTGGAACGGGGGGGGGGGGGGGGGGGGGGGGGGGGGGGGTTGTTAGACACCTGTCTGAACATATTGAATGAATAGGGGTTATTTCATAGAACTTGTATCTGCAATAAATATATAAAAACCCTAATATCTTATTTCGCAACATACAGTGATTTGCTATTTAATATTTACATTTGCAAATATTTTTCCTTCATATTCTTCGCATCATTTTCTCATGAACTAGGTACATGAGTACATGAGGGAGCAAGGATATCTCCATTGTGATGTCATAATTCCACACTTGACGTCAAAACTAGAAACTTAGTTTCAAAAATAACTGTTGAATGACATAAATTTGCGTCGCTTCGTGCTTATGCACTTCAAAAAATATGCCGGTGTGAAGCGTCTTTGTTCATGTCCTTGTGAATTTTCAAAAATTATTATTTTAAAAATTATTTTTTGCTAGATTTGTGAAAACTTGCAAAAAGAAACTTTTCTTTTCTGTCAGAAGAAGTGTGTTCAGTTTCAATTTTTTTTTTTTCAATTGAAAATACGATGCATAAAACAGTATACAACAAAATGATTACACAACATATGCAGCGATGATTCAATGTTTACATGGCCTATGTAAGTATTGAAAAGCTAGAGAAGATCTTATAGAGGAAAACAAATTTTCTCTGCAATCTTAAAAAAAAAAGATGTTCATGTCCAGCATGCAACCTCAAACTAGTCTATATATATCAAAATCGCATTCGTTCATCTGTTCATCCATATTCATTAATCACTGAGAAAATCACGCCTTCTGAAGTTTCTAGGAAATGAATATATACGTTGATGTAGATCCAATAGTAATTTCTAATATTTTAATTAATTAAAACAAGAGGACATAAAGATCCAGATATAACTTCATTTTATTAATGAGATAGATTTCAATGTTCAGAACTATATATACAAAAGCTAGACGTGTCAAAACAAAACACGTATATGAAAAAATCTGCGTCGACGCTCCCCAACACTCTGCAGCGTTACGTCCTATTCTTTCTCTGTTCATGAAATGTTGCCACAAGGACTTTTTGTCATTGGCGCAATCACATCACACCCCTTATTCCAGAAATGGTTACCGTGAACTTTCTTTTTTTAAACATCACAAGAGTCGATCACGTGATGCCTTGCAATCGCTTCCTTAATAGGCCATAACTTATTTGACAAATAACAGTAAAAGAATGTGTATATATTCAAACACGAAGTGGGACGTCCACTGGTTGAAAAAAATGTGTTTTAGATACAAAATGGACAAAACATTCTCAGACAGACAAAGGGATATTGTGATTCCATTATAACCATGATTATTTGTGTTTGAGAGAGAGATACAGACGGAGAACTGACCTGGATTTTCTCCTTCTGATGTTTCATTTCCCGCTCCAGTTTGGAGGCCACCAGGCGGTGATTCTTTGAGATGTCATTAAATTTGTCTATTATCCAATCAGCCAACTGCTCCAATAACTTTTGAATCAATTTAAAGATATATTTGACTTTTTCTACTTTGGATTCTGAAAAATAAGGAGATTGGACTTAAAAGAATGTTATACATTTATATTTACACTGGTCTCAGATTTTCTTAATATGAATTGAATAAACTATTACTTCAAAACTTCTCTCTGTCTCTTGTGATAAATCGAATAATCTTTTCTAAGAATCTGTTGTGTCATCAGGTTAGGATGTAAAATTCAAATTTTCATTGAATGTTAACTTCAATCAGTGAAATCAATAAGGAACAAAAAGTTTTTTCTTCTTCATACCATATTCTTCTTCTTTCTCCTCCTCTGTGACTGCTTCACCTTGCTCACTATCTTCTTCCTAATAAGATAAATTTACACAAATTTAATGTTTCTTTGCCAGTCACCAGGTACTTACCCACATTAAGTCAAGGCATGACTTGTTCAGGGGTCATAAATAATCTTGTATCAAGTAGGAATTTCCAATGTTTCTGTTACACACAGTCACGATTCAGATACTAATTAATTGGAAAGTTAGGACATGTGTGACACTTATAAATCTCAAAATCCTTTTTTAAAGAGAGGGGGATAGAACTGAATGTTTTCTGATTTTTTTCTCTTTTACTAAAAGTATACCTCTTCTTCTGCTTGTTCCACAGCAGCTTTAGGACCAGATTCTATTGCTGTGGAAATCAACTACAAAGACAAGGAAAAGTATCTACAAGCAACAACCTAGAAATAGTGTAATTCATTGCAAAACTTTCCATGGAATGATTAACGTTTCTCATAACAAAATAATCTGAGGACACAATTTTGAATTCTTCTATTCACCTTCATAGGATCTGCCTTGCCCTCATCCTCTTCCTCAGAATCTCCTCCGATGGTAATACTGGTAGGGTCCTCACCATGTACATCATAGTCATCGAATAGATAGTAGTCTCCAGAACGGATAGCTATAATGTCATGATACAACAATTACAGTGACATTAGGGTGCCATGATTTGAACAAACATAAATCTGAACCTGAGAATGCTTTCATATAAATATGACTTATCCTGGCCTTGTTGTTTTTGAGCAGAAGATTTTCTAAAGATTTGTTCTATATATTCCCATGTAAAACTTTCATCTCCTCTTGTGGCCCCATCCTACCTTTGAGGAGCAATGATCTGAACAAATTTGAATCTACACTACCTACTATGCTTCCAAATTAATACGAATAAATATGGCTTTGCTTTTCTTGAGAAGATGATTTATAAAGATCTTTCATACATACTCACATGCAAACCTTTGATATTCCATTGTGGCCCTAACTTATCCCAGGGGTCATTTGAACAAAATTGAATCAACACTATGTTAGAAAGCTTTCACATAAGTTTCAACATTTCTGGCCTAGTGGTTCCTAAGAGGAAGATTTTTTAAGATACCCATCCTAGTTTTGTCTTTTCTTGATTATCACACCTTTAAAGAGGACATGGCCCTTTTTTTTAAAGATACTTGAATCCCCTTAACCCAAAGATGCTTTTAGGTAAATTTGATTGAAAATGATCAAGTGATTCTGGAGAAGAAGTTGAAAATGTGAAAAGTTTACAGAAGGACAGATGGACAGAGAGTCAGATGACATGTGATCAGAAAAGCTCACTTGAGCCTTCAGTTTAGGTGAGCTAAAAAGTCATCAGAATTATCTTTTTTTTTTCAACTTGAAATGGTATTACATATGAATTTCTTTATTTACTCACCACTCATAGATTAGCATTTTATACTAGCACTTGGGAAGAAAATTTTACCTTGAAAATGTTCATCTGGCTCCATAAAATTTCTTGTGCTTCCTTGAAATTTCTTCTGGCGGAGAAACTCCATTTTCTTTTTGATATTCTCTAGGACTTTTCTCTCATCCTCCCTCTGTTCCTGGACTCGAGTTATCAGGATCTCGTTTATGAGTTGAGCTCCTCTGAGAAAAACAAAAGGGATGTCATTCACAAATAGGACACCCTCCTCTCAGGCTACATGTAACCAATACAGAGTTAAAAAATTAATGAATTCAATGAATTAAATAGAGCCACCAACATTGCTTCACAATCACAAATCTTTATACAGTTGAACTTCTCAAACACTGATATCTCAAATACCATGGGTATGTCGAAGTGATTTGTTAGTCCCAACTGCTTATTCCTTAAGTGTTTTACACTAGATATCTCGAATCCTCAGATGTCTCAAAGTATTTTCTCAGTCCCATTAAGTTCGAGATAACAAGGTTTGACTGTACTTATATAAATTTCTGATAAAATTCTTCAAAATAAATATACTAGTATTCTATATTGATAAAATGTTATTACACAATGTAATTCTTATCATGAAAAATGTCAAAGTTAAAGCTGACCTTTAAAACTCCATCTGATGCTTGCATCTCCTTTTAACTTATATTTCAACAGGTTTTGGGATTAAATTTAATTAATGAAATTAAAAATTTTTGGTGGAAGTGTGACTCTTTCCAGACATATGTATATATATCATACAAAAAAATCCCAATGTGTCTGTCATATCAACATCCAACACAAAAATCATGTTTAGTACAAGTAAATTTTAAGACTTATAATGCTGGGTACCTGGCTGCTAAAGCATTCTGTGCCTCAGCACTGGCCACTATGTGTCTGAAGTAGTGACTTTTGTAGATCCGTAATTGTAACAGAAGAAAGGTCAAACAAACCACATCCCAACTCAACCCCGAATCATCAATCTCCACTTTACACTCAAAACCACTGCCACCTGTAATGTCAAACATATTGAACAATACAATCGTTATAATTTTCCAACAATAGAATTTTACTGTTATTAGTTGTTTTACTTAATACGCTCTGATCTTAAGCATTTAAAACATTAAGGAATACAGTCAAACCTGTATTAAGAGACCTTCCAACGGAGAAAGGAAAAAAGGTCACATATGACAGGTGGTCTCTTAATACAGGTTGCCTATTTTCTACAGTGTTCAAATATACAATGCTGAAAAAATTATACATGTATGTGGAATGTATTTTATACCATGTACTGTATATTTCCACTTTTCAATAAGTACTGCTCTACTGTAAATGCTTGTATATTATGGGTAAAATCGTCATGTTCGATAATAAAATTTGTGTGTTTGATACGCACATGAGTCATATTAATTATTGAGAAATATTGAATATCTGAAAATATTAAGATTTTTTAATCATTATAAATAAGTTGTAAAGATTTTCTTCTTATAATAGATTTTTTTTACATTAGGCTATAGTCTATAAAACTTTGTAAATTCTGCGCACTACTAAGAATTTAAAATTGTGTCATGATTTTTGTTATGCATTTGGTAACAAATGAAATGACATTTCTAACTAAAAATTTATTTAACCTAATAATTTTTTTCATGACTAAATTACCGCGTCTAATTGCGTGTTTGTCACTGGATACTTCAATCACTGCAATTAACACCTGGCATGGGTGCTAGCTAGCCTGTGTTTTCATAACCATACAGTGACACAATTGAATTAAATATGTTGGATTTAGTTACTTGGAAATTAAAAGTAAAACAGGCAAATTTTATAGCTGAATGTCCGTTAGGCTCTTATACTGTTATAGCACGAAATGATATATCGGGATCGACCTCGAACGTCTTTTTTCAAAATGGCGCTCAAACAACGTGAATGTTTATGTAATAGATTTCAATGTTTATTCAATAAATATCAAAATGTAAGGAAAAGTATTTATCTTGTAATGTTGTATTATTTGTAAAACTCACTATATATAATTTTTAAATGATAAAACCGCGTGTCTGTATAGATGTTTAAACCAAAAATCTAACATGCTCGACCGAAATCGAAAGTAAGAATCGGAAATTATATAGTCGTTAAATCAAGGTAAAATTGCCTGAAATCACTAACAAGAGGCCCATGGGCCACATCGCTCACCTGAGTAACTTTGGCCATGCTGTTCTTTACCAGATTTCCCCCCTTTTAATATACCTATTATGGCCCCGCCCTACCCCCGGGGGTCAAAATTTGAACAATTTAGAATCTACACTACCCCAGGATACTTCCAAATATGTTTCAGCTTTATTGGTCCAGTGGTTCTTGAAAGAAGATTTTTAAAGATTTTTCTTATGTATTTCAATGTAAAACTTGGATTCCCTATTATGGCCCTGCCCTACCCCCGGGGGTCATGATTTAAACAATTTATAATCTACACTACCCAAGGTTGCTTCCATATAAGTTTCAGCTTTTCTGGCCCTGTGGTTCTTGAGAAGAAGATTTGTAAAGATTTTTCTTATATATTTCAATGTAAAACTTGGATTCCCTACTGTGGCCCTGCCCTACCCCCGGGGGTCATGATTTGAACAGTTTATAATCTACACTACCCCAGGATGCTTCCAAATATGTTTAAGCTTTTCTGACCCTGTGGTTCTTGAGAAGAAGATTTGTAAAGATTTTTCTTATGTATTTCAATGTAAAACTTGGATTCCCTATTGTGGCCCCGCCCTACCCCCGGGGTCATGATTTGAACAATTTATAATCTACACTACCCCAGGATGCTTCCATATAAGTTTCAGCTTTTCTGGCCCTGTGGTTCTTGAGAAGAAGATTTTTAAAGATTTTTCTTATGTATTTCAATGTAAAACTTGGATTCCCTATTGTGGCCCCGCCCTACCCCCGGGGGTCATGATTTGAACAATTTATAATCTACACTACCCCAGGATGCTTTCATATAAGTTTCAGCTTTTCTGGTCCTTTGGTTCTTAAGAAGAAGATTTTTAAAGATTTTTCTTATGTATTTCAATGTAAAACTTGGATTCCCTATTGTGGCCCCGCCCTACCCCTGGGGGTCATGATTTTAACAATTTAGAATTTACACTATCCCAGAATGCTTCCACATAAGTTTCAGCTTTTCTGGCCCAGTGGTTCTTGAGAAGAAGATTTTTTAATGACCCCACCCTATTTTTGTCTTTTCTTGATTATCTCCCCTTGTAAGGGGACTTGGCCCTTTATTTTAACAATTTACACTCCCCTTTACCCAAGGATACTTTGTACCAAGTTTGGTTAAAATTGGCCCAGTGGTTCTTGAGAAGAAGTTGAAAATGTGAAAAGTTTACAGACAGACGGACAGACGGATGGACGGACGGACAGACGGACGGACGACGGACAACGGGTGATCAGAAAAGCTCACTTGAGCTTTCAGCTCAGGTGAGCTAAAAATGTAGCGAAAATCACGGTCACTGGTCGTGTCAGACAGGTGGTTGTTTAATACAGGTATAATATAAAGGGAATTCGTTGGGGGGATTTTTTTACGGTCACATATGACAGTGAGTCGCTTAATACAGTGGGTCGCTATGGCAGTTTTTACTGTATAATATTTGTAGAGTGTGTGATATACAGCCCAATCACAGCAGTGCATGGTTACAAGCTGAGATATAAAGGACTTAAGATTATTTCAGTGAGATCTGATGGACTTTGGGGATCTCAGTGAGATGTGACAGACTGAGATGATTTAAGTGAGATTTGATGAACTATGGGATCTCAGTGAGATATGAAGGACTGAAATGATTTCAGTGAGGTCTGATGGACTATGGGGATCTCAGTGAGATATGAAAGACTGAGATGATTTCAGTGAGATCTGATGGACTATGGAGATCTCAGTGAGATATGAAAGACTGAGATAATATCAGTGAGATATGTTGTAGTATGGGGATCTCAGTGAGATACGAAGATGATTTCAGTGAGATGTGATGGACTATGGAAGTCTCAGTGAGATATGAAGGACTGAGATGATTTCAGTGAGACTTAAGGGACTAAGGGGTCTATCAGTGAGATATAAAGGACCAAGATAATAAAAGTGAGACTAGGATGATTTCAGTGATGTGTAAAAGACTGAGCAGATTTCAGTGAGATATGATACACTTAGAGGATCTCAGTGAGACAAGAAGGACTAAGAGGATTTTAGTGAGTACTTGGAAGATGGTAATGAGACATAAAGTACTTGAATATATTAGTGAGAATTGAAGTCTGCAGTGACTGTGAAGTGTCCAAGAAAAAGACAAGATGTATTGATATGCTTCAAGTGTCTCCCTCAAAGCCTAATTAAAAACTTTCTTTTTTTCCCCCTTCATTTTTCTTCTTTAAATGAAAAAAAAAGAATGTCTACACCTTTTCCTATATAGTTCCAGGTCAATCATTGTCCTGTCTTGGTGACACATGTTTCAATCATAATCATGTTATTGTCAATACTCAAATTATTTGAATATTTTGTTAAAATAGGTGTACCAAATTTGGTTATAATAAGACATTCAGCGTTTTTTTTTTCCTTATATAACTTGAACTGATAAACGGTACCATTCCCAATGCCAAAAAACTTTATATTTTTCCCAATTTTGAGACTAAAAGTTCCCAATTCAACTGCCAAGCAACAGACTACGATGACATCGTATTTCTTTTTATATGAAGTATTGTACAAGTTGACTAATTGTTTCACTTCCCCTTAAATCGAAAGGTGGCAGGGGATATTTTCGTACTAAAGACCCAGTCAAATTTCTTAAAAAACTGAGATATCCCGTTTGATGTGATATTTTATGTAGAAAAATGATTAGAATAATTAGGGGTCACATTTACAGTGTAGCAGAGTGCTTGCTGAAAAAAATGATGTGCATCATGTAAGTGTCACTATGACGCTTATCATATACAGAGTTGTCAATGCGAAACTAAGACACGTGGTCAGTTGCGGAGGAAATTCAGCTGAAAAGCAGTATGCCTTAGAGGAAGGTGTGTACTCAGAGAGAAGGTGAATGGCCCCCTATCAATTGGTGAATTTCATTAGGGCATGCATTGATTTACAGACTACTATGTGTTTTATCCTGCTCGCTCGGGCCTGGGGGTGGGTTGTATGGGTGCGACTGAGGCCCAAATCTTGGAAAAACAAGCCAAAATTTGGGGAGTCCCCAGGTGCATTTTTGGTACATGTGCACTCTAATAGGCAGATTACATAATTTGTTGACAAAATTTGTGAGCCATGGGCATATGAAGTATAATTAATTAGCCCCTGGAAATCTGTCCCCATGTACATGTTTTTATGGATCACATGTATATGTGTACCCCCTCGGCACATGTTTGGCATTAAAAAAAACTATCCTCCGCCACCAAAGTAGAGATTAGTCATAATATGGCCATTCGGCAAACCTCGGCTGATTCCGTTACCTTCATCATTAGATTAGATGACATATGGCGGGACCTGTGGTGTAGACAGCGTAGTGTCATACATTTTGACAAATTGAAAGCATGAAAATGCGAGAACAAGGGACATTGATATGAAAAACAATAAATACTTGTTGTTTATTCTCTAAAACATGGATTAATAGGTAATGAGGTTGGAAATATGTTTCATTTGTTTTAATGACAGAAAATTTTCCTTTGTTCTACTTCGATGCTATTTTTCCCAATTGAACTGGTACTGGACCCTTTCCCAATGTATAGAAAAAATCGCTGACATTAAATAAAAAAATATACAAAATATATGAGGGTCATTCAAAAAATTCGTAGACTTCTGTCATAACTTTTTTTATTTAACGTCTTATAACCAAATTTGGTACACACATTTTAAAAAAATATTCAAATAATCTGAGTCCAAAAATTGGAATATATCTTGACATTTATCAAAGTTATCAAAGATTTAAAACAGGAAAATTGGGATCACAGAGCAGGGTCAAAATTGAGTTATTTACTAATTATACACTTTATATTGTGTAGTCATAACTCTTATAAATAGCCCTTAAACAAAATAAAATTTAAATGTTCAAGTTTAATATTTTTCTGTTACTTCTTTTGCTAAACTGTAATGTAGTACATTGCTTTGTTTAAAAGATTTCTAAAGACAGACAGACTTCATTAAAAAAGCAAAAAATGATGATGCCAAAGGATGTCACAGAGCAGCGAGTAGCAATATAATTTCGCTTTGCATTTCTTGAAACCTCTAAAACAAACTCTGAAAATGTCGGAGGAACCAGGAAATGAATCAAAAATGAGCTGAACATTTGTATATACATGGAAAAGACAGTTTTTGAATGGTAGAGACTTTGAATCGGACGATGACGGTCTGCGAAGAAACAGATTATAAAAATCTGGTCAAAAAAGATAGCAACATCATGAAACGTGATGTGCACTTCACTGTTGCGGAACTTGTGAAAGCAGAGTTTAAAACGAATTTGAAAACACTGACACTCTAACTTGAGCTTCTTGAACAACTGTTAGCAAACTAGGTGTCAAGTGTTATGGATAATTATGTTTTTATGAATGCATGGGTAAGACGCTACAAACCATTTGTGATATGAAAAGGCAGAGTAATTTTGATAAACGTTCTCGATGCTGTTTTTGACGTTACAATGTTGTTAAGCATGCTCCGTGGTGACAAAACATGTTGTTTTTAAAACTAATCAAGTAACATGAGTTGTACTTACTCGAATGGAATGAAACTTCACATATCAACAAAATAAATGTTTTTACATATGAAAATGTGTTGATCTTAAATCTTGTAAAATTAATAATATGATGATAAGGGACATTGTCTATGTAGTTTTTGCATGACCCTCATAGAATACATTTCAATCATAATCATGTTATGGTCAACACTTCACAAAATATAGAATATATTACAATCAATGGCATTGCCCTGACAAGACTGATAGAAGTAACACAATTTCAACATCTTGTTAAACAAGAACTTTCATCAACAAGATAATTTTGAACTTGAGACAAGATTATGACTCACCTTTAAAGTATAGGCACCAGCATAATAAAGTCTGAATTCATTGCAATAAAGAGTTCTACAGGGAAGGGGATTGGATGATTAGGTGGGTGAGGGTGCAGGTGACAGGATTACTAGTGAACAGATCTGTTACTTATCATTACCAAATACTGAAATTAAGCTCAATATCTGCAGGCCTAATGATTAAAATCTATATACTTTTCACGATCATTTCTAATCTATAAGGCCATGAATCCTGTTAATATCTGAATGTTTACAGAATTCCACACATCAATTAAACTGTATACTGGGACTACTTGGTCCCTTCACAAAAATCCAAAATGATAAATTCAAGTATAATAATAGGATGTGACATTGTCTATTTATTTATGATAGTGAAAGGCTATTTGCTGCTACATTTATACATCAGTTCTGATTTATTAAACATTTGATTCCTGATAAATTTCCACAAAATGAAAGTAAATGATGGTGTAGTTCCTTGAAACTGAAGTAAATGAATAGCCTCTAGCATTAATTGTGAACATTTTTAAAAAAGCTCTTTCAACTTTCACAGTAGGTTAGCCTGGCTTTGTCTAAGCAGTGGTGATTTGCATTTCTTTAAAGCTTTTCTATAGATGCTGTTTATAACAAACCTTGCACAATAATAGAGTACTCTGCAGCAAAATATCAATAATTGTTAGTACATGTACATAAAATATCAATAATTGTTAGTACATGTACATAAAATATCAATAACTGTTAGTACATGTACATAAAATATCAATAATTGTTAGTACATGTACATCAATTAATTTTTTTTTTACACAAACAAAATGATCTGTGTCATTTCAAAGGAAAACACATCAACAAACACAATCTAGCATTTTATAAAATTTTCTGAGTAGCTTTCATATGGACCAGATTTTAATTCATCTTGAAAAACAATGAGACCCATGGGCCTTGATGTTCACCTGAATATTGAGAGTTTCTCTTGATATAATCAACTTAGCCCCACCCTATGGCCTGAACCCATGGACCAAGAGGCCAGGAATTTGACAGTTTTTGTAGAGGATAAATGCTTATTGTAATCTTGCAAACAGTCTTCTTCCTATATGTCCAGAAAAAATGAAGATTTTTGAATATGGCATGAAAATTTATTGTTACAACTGTGATCCTCAAGCCCCTGGGGGAGTAAGACCATGGAATTCACAACATTTGATTCCCTCTATCCTTAGATGCTATATTCAAAATTGGTTGAAATGGTTTTTGCCATTTCAGAGAAGCTTAAAATTAACCACCCCCCCCACCCCCCCCCCCCCCCACACAAAAAAGCACAACGATGGAGAAGATCAGATAGCATATGGATCACTTTTGTGCCCAGGTGACCTTTAACGTAGATAAGTACAACTCTTGTTAAGTCTTCTTGTAATTAGATAATTACCTGGTGAATACATGATAGAAGGGGATAGACAGGTGAGTCCCAGAAGCTGAACCAACCAGCAATGATTGTTGTACAGGTAGTCAATGTAAACACAGCCCAGCAGCTGCAAAAATGTCAACATAGAATATAGTAAGGCTTGTATCTGAGCCAGTGTATTTGATATGATACCACTCTTATCGTAAGAAAATTTCAATATATTTATATATGGTACTTTACGAAAATTCTACATGGCTATCAATTGGCTATTACAGCATGATCAAAGACTTTAAAATGCTTAACGGGGTGATAATTCATTCCAGGAAATGCATCCAACCACAAAGACAGTGACATCACATCAAAAATGATTTGTATTTTGACTATTTTTCGCATGAGCAATAGATTTTATTTTTACTATGAATGAACTTTACTATTCTTTGTACATTCAATGTTATAAGAATATCATTTTATCTGACAAAGGATGATATGCTACACAGCCCCTTGGTAGATTGACAAAAAAATGAGTATCAGAATTTACACCAATTTTTACAAGTATTTAATCTTTGATATGTGTACCATAACAGAATACCACTTTTACCAAAATAATACCATCATATGGAAGATATTACCTCTATTTCAGGTGGGATACACAGTTTTCAACAATTCCCATCAACTTTTAGTCCCACCCCACTATTGAAAATTCCCCCTTAAAATACATAAGTGCAATTAGGTACATTTTTCTCCTTTGGCTTGTCACAGTATTTTATCAAAATCTATCTATACGTGTGTAATGGTTTGGGCCATAGATATTTGCCTGATAGTTCAGTTGGTAGAGCAACTGACTAGTACGTGATGCAGGGGTCCCGGGTTCGATTCTCCATCCAGCCATACATTTTCTCCTCTCTCGTTACTTAACTTGGTGCCTTGACCACCTCTGGAATTGCAGGTGAAAGTTCTGCATGGGGCAAATAAGAACTTGGGTTGCAGTTTTGAGGGCAAAGAAATCTAAGGAAAGAGGGGCTGGCAAATTTTTTTAAGTCAGATTATTTGTTTTTAAGCCAGTCAAGGACAGATTATTTATTTTCAAAATCTGCAAAGCAGACTCAATTCCAATGAATACATTCTGTACTTGGATTCTTGATTGGTAAACATTGTCATGTGAAATGTAAACGACAAAAGAAAAATCTGTTCATTATTCCTCTACTGCACTTAGATCCACCCATTATTTTCTCCTTTTCATCTTTATTTATAAAATAACAAATGGTCACTAACCACAACAAATTTGGCTGTTATAGGGTCTAAAAAATCAATTATAATGCTATATGCCTCAAAATTACAAAGTATCCAATCTATTGAAAACTATTCAAAAGGTGTCATTTTTAAAAAATCTCATTTGAAAACTATCAAAATTACCGTAGATTTATATATTTTTTTTTTATTAATATATGTTATGGGAGTTCATCCTTACACATTAAGTAAAGCTTTTACAAGTATGATTGACAGCAGGCTTATGATGTCATTCTGTACACACTGATTCTATTGAGTGGTCAATCATGGACATAATGAATTTTATAAACAGATAAAGTCATCTGTTAGCATAATAATTTACCTCATGTAACATAATTTTGACAAAAAAAAATGCATAACATTATTTGTTATCACTAAATGATCTGTGCTATAAAAACACAGGTGTCCAAACAAATTGAATAAAGAATGCTGGTGAGTTATACCTGCAAAGAAGCCTTCAGGAATATCACAATGACTGTGTAGCCCAAGAATGTGTTCCAGCTGCAAGGAATGAATTCAGAGAAAGCCTGAATCATGAGTTCTCAAGAGTTATCTCTCTTTGAAGTTTCATTTAGGTTTCAAAAGAGACAATTTACCTTTTAAAAAATCATCAATTTAAATGTTCACTGTTTTTAATAAATAGCAGTGTTTTTCTACATATATAGACACTATAAAAATAAATCTGTACCTTCTTCTAATCTGCCTGAGTGGTTTAAGAATGAATTCCTGTCCGTACCACATAAAACAAAGAGCACCGATAATGTAACCCATACTGAACAGGTTGATTCGGTTTGTGCCAGCTAGGAAGATGATGAACAGGGTCAACCAGTACATGTACGAAAAAAAGCCGCTCTTGACTACGTCCAGGTATGACCTAAAAACATATCAAAGACATCATTTCCAGAACTTCTTACTCAATAAACAACAACATCAAAGTTTGGAAGGAAGCACAGAAACAAAACTTTTTATACCTAACTTGGCAACAGAACATTTTTGTATTAAGTTATTAATATGTTTGTATATCACAAGCACATGTATAGCTGTTTCCTATTAATACAACATGCAAAATGACAACAAACATTTCAACAATAATGGACTACACGTATAGGCTATTAAAATTTCAATTCAAACAACTGTAATTAAATTTGTTCATAGACTCGTATTGGTGACTTGTCCTTAATTAAATTTAATTATAAATGCTAAAAAAAAATTAGTACCGTAATACAGTCTTGTGCACATTTTAGACGCAAATGAAAGTAACACTTGGGCAATAAGTGAAATAGTAGAGAATTATCAATTCATTATGTGTAACTATGCAAAACATTGGTCTGGAATGGTGCAGGTTTAAATCACACATTAGAAACACACATGTAACAGTAAACACTTTTTTGGCATAAAATGTGTTTCCTTTCCTTTAAAAGCTTGAATTATTGAACACTGAAATCTGGATTTGCTATTTTTATTAAGATTTTCAGAATCAGGAGGTAAAGACATTAAAATTCTGAAATGCATTGCAAAAGGCTTTCTCATAAGGTGAAAACACACTCCATGAAATACATACCTCCTATGGCTGCATGTGCACAAGTTTTATAAGAATATATTTCAGTAATGTTTGGTTATTTAATAACAAAAATAAAAACCCTTTCCTACTGTGAGAATTACACATATAGTATTACATGAACAGACATTACAAAACATTTATTTAACAAATAAATTTTAGAAAGATGTGTTTTTAAAACATTGATGCTTCTGTATAGCAGCTAATGGCAAGAGTTTCTGTAAACCCTGGCCATTAAAACCCAGTTAATGCACTGAATTTAGCAAAGACAAAATCAGTAAAAGCATACGACAGACAAGTATTTATACACAGATTTCACTTCCGTCTATTTCCAGAGGTTGACACTGACATCCATGTGATACTTACTCAGACACAGTGGTAAAGTCTGTGACAGGGATAGGCATGTTGGCCTCCACCTCTGGTAGTGTGATACTTACTCAGTGGTAAAGTCTATGACAGGGATAGGTATGTTGGCCTCCACCTCAGGTAGTTTGATACTTACTCAGACACAGTGGTAAAGTCTACAACAGGGATATGCATGTTGGCCTTAACTTCTAGTTTGATACTTACTCAAACACAGTGGCAAAGTCTGCGACAGGGATAGGCATGTTGGCCTTCACCTCAAGTAGTTTGATACTTACTCAGACACTGTGGTAAAGTCTACGACAGGGACAGGCATGTTGGCCTCCACCTCAAGAAATTTGATACTTACTCAGACACTGTGGTAAAGTCTACGACAGGGATATGCACGTTGGCCTTCACCTCTGGTAGTGTGATACTTACTCAGACACTGTGGTAAAGTCTACAACAGGGATAGGCATGTTGGTCTCAACTTCTAGTGTGATACTTACTCAGACACAGTGGTAAAGTCTGCGACAGGGATGGGCATGTTGGCCTCCACCTCTGGTATTGTGATACTTACTCAGACACAGTGGTAAAGTCTATGACAGGGATAGGCATGTTGGCCTCCACCTCTGGTAGTGTGATACTTACTCAGTGGTAGAGTCTATGACAGGGATAGGTATGTTGGCCTCCACCTCAGGTAGTTTGATACTTACTCAGACACAGTGGTAAAGTCTACGACAGGGATATGCATGTTGGCCTTAACTTCTAGTTTGATACTTACTCAGACACAGTGGCAAAGTCTGCGACAGGGATAGGCATGTTGGCCTGCACCTCAAGTAGTTTGATACTTACTCAGACACTGTGGTAAAGTCTACAACAGGGACAGGCATGTTGGCCTCCACCTCAAGAAGTTTGATACTTACTCAGACACTGTGGTAAAGTCTACGACAGGGATAGGCATGTTAGTCTCCACCTCTGGTAGAGTGATACTTACTCAGACACTGTGGTAAAGTCTACAACAGGGATAGGCATGTTGGTCTCAACTTCTAGTGTGATACTTACTCAGACACAGTGGTAAAGTCTGCGACAGGGATGGGCATGTTGGCCTCCACCTCTGGTAGTATATCCTCATTACTGCCTCCACCATATCTTGCTTCAGAATCTGTGTGGAACTGAGCCTCAATTCTAAACACCTGCCACTGTAGGCACACAAACAGAAGCAGGAAAAAATCACCTACAACAGCAAAATATACTTGAAAAATTGAATTAAAGACTCCCTATACATTTATTTCACAATACAATTTTGATGACATTACATGTTAACAATATCCATAGGAAGGATTCTTTCTACATGAATCTTATTATCACTGATCAATGGCATAATTCAGTAAGTTTTAATACACTTTAATGAAAACAGTAAATACTATGAAATCACTATTTTCACGTGGTTTGATTTTTGTTGTTTTCATAGTGCGAAGAGACCAATGACATTAGTATCCTACAAGACGTGTAAGAAATTCAACTACAGTATCATGTAACCTAATCAGTTTTTTTTCCTCATGAAAATAAGTGATTTTACAGTATTGTAATTGGAACTGAAGCATGTCTTTATTCAGAGATCAGGTTTATATCTTTAAGTTACAGATTCCATCAACATTGGTCAAAAATTTATACACAATTGGTAGGTTGATGTAATTGTGAATTATATATGATTTACCTATAATTTTACACACATTTGATAGGTTGGAGTAATTGGGAATTATACATGTATATGAATTACATATCAATTTATACACAATTGGTGGGTTGAAGTAATTGGGAATTATACATGTATATGAATTACATATCAATTTATACACAATTGGTGGGTTGAAGTAATTGTGAATTATACATGTGTATATGATTTACCCATAATTTTTTACACATTTGATAGGTTGAGGTAATTGGGAAATTATACATGTACATTTGTATATGAATTACCTATAAGTTTATACACATTTGGTGGGTTAAAGTAATTGTGAATTATATATGATTTACCTATAAGTTTATAAACATTTGGTGGGTTAAAGTAATTGGGAAGGTACAACCAATTCTCTAAGTTCTTCTCTGTTTCTGTGTCAAAATTCCATGGATACTCTGTAAAAGTGACAATATACTCTAGTTTATTCACAACTGCACAATTACAAT